AACTGCACTTGAGGTGCACTCCTAATACAAAAATAAAATTTGAAAGTTTTACCGCTTTTTCTTGAAGGTTTGCTATCAAACCATATTGAATCTGTAAACATGGAAAACGGTTGCTTGTTGTCATCATAGTGAAGCTTAAAGTTAGTCATGATCATTTGATAGACGCTTTCTTCATCTTCAAAGTTAACGCAATCACTCATTGTTGAGCCAAATTTTGTCCCTGACGTGTCACATTGCCAAGTCACAATCGGAACCTCCCACAAACCTGGGTAGAAATCTGAAAACGAACAAGCGGACTAATTAGCTTAATGCAGACAAACAAAAAGTTTTTAGCAGGCAATAAAAATGTTGCACTTTTTATATTAACAAAAATAAACGAAATGAAAGTATAGTATTCAAGCGCAATACTTGTTGGGCAGTTTTTCAAATAACAACTTAAAGAGGGCAAGTAGTCAAAAGTATATGGCCACCATCTTACTCCTGGAAACGTAACCAACGAGCTGTCGTACAAAAAGCCGTTATCTGCTAAAATTCTAAACGTTGTTTCCGTGCTTTCGAGATATGGGTTTCGCCAACCTTTTGTAATCACACCAACCTCTGACTGGATAGTTTTCTGTTGGCCAACAATCTCCGACTCGAGTTCTGTAACAGATGCCTTAGAAGAAAAAACAAAAACTTATTAAAATTTAAAAAAATATATGTTCTGAATAAATAGTCGATTAGTCGTTTAGAAAAACTGACAAAGCTGAATTTAAAACAAAAAAAACAACAACAACAACAAACGAACAATCTTTTATAACATACATTTGCGCTCCACCACTCTGGAGGAACCCTTTGAGATACTGAGTGATCGGCTAGTTCATGTCCTGAATATATATATATATACAAATAGATAACGTATACAAATACAGTGTTTGTTATTTTCAAAAGTTTAAACTAATTTATTGCATTGTGCAAACTAAAAAGTTTAATGTTTCAAAAACGTTATTTGAAAAATATTACCGTTTTCGTAGAGCGTCTTTACTAAGGTGTAATTTGCGTTATCTCCAGAAACAAAAAAAGTGGCTTTAATTGGACATCCATTGAAATTGGTAACTCCGTCAAGCAAATCTTTGTGAAGCTGAACGTTTTGCGATGTAACGCTGTCACCAAAAGTTAACAAGATAACTTGGGGCGTGTTATTTTTAAATAAACCACCTGGAATATCCGTTCCAGCGCACCTGCACGTTGGTAAACGACAAAGTAAGGAGTTGCAAGAAGCTAAAATACACAAACTTAAAATGCGTGAGAAACTGCGCCTCAGGTTTTTTGTGAAATGATACAATATTAAAGAATACGTCAAAACTAAGTTACCTTGACCACTTTTTGAAACTAGATCTGCCAGGTAAACCGTCGTTGGTACAGTACTCTCGGTTGGTAGGGCATCGTTTGCTGCATTTGAAAGGTTTTCTGTTGTTTGAGTGCTTATCAAAGAGAGAACAGCCAAAAAACACGCTACTGCTAGCATTTGTTTAGTCATCTAAAGAAAAAGCCGCATTTGAAATAGTTTGTTCTAGGCTAGTTTTTATTAAAACAAAAATGATCGTGCACAAATGATTACCGTAACAGTTCTTTTGCTATTGATGTGAGTAACTGATGTATAACTGAAAAAGCTTCATCAAGTATTTATAAAACTTGAAACGGAAGCGTAGCTTTATGCGCAAACTATTGTCATTCAAAAATTAGTGTAGTTGTTGAAATCGTTAACATTGGAAGTATGTACTCATAGAGACTATTAAAAAAGTAACAAATAGTTTCTAGAGTCTTTATTGCATCAACAGATTCCTCCGTTTTGATTTATGTAGTTAAGAAATAACGAAGTAATAAGATTTTTTAATTACTTTATTTCGCCGTTAAAGAAAACTTTTAATGTATACACATATATCAAAAATTAATGGCTCGACCATAAAAAACGCATCTTTAGCTTTATCGCCGAGCCCGCTACAAAAAACTTTACATAACGATAACATATATACATAAAAATGACAACTGTGAAAAACTAGAAAAAACATACATATAAATATATATATATATATATATATATATATATATATATATATATATATATATATATATATATATATATATATATATATATATATAAAATAACAAAGGTATATAAAGAAATAGAAAATAACAAACAGTTTAGAAGCACTAAAAGGTTTGGCGAGGTTTTAGCAATCGCTGAAAATCAATATTAAAAAAAAGTTCTCAAATAAAAGAAATAAGTAAGAGTGTTTATTAAGTAACATCATCACGAGATTAAAAATCTATCGTAAGATTAAATGCTTTAATGAAATCTATGTTTATTGTTTTCTGCTTTCTTTAAAAGAAACGTTTAGCTTTGGATATATTGAAGTTTATAGATAAAAAATAATCGTTTTGATTCATTTTTAAAATGCTCTCGTGTAGACTTTTTTTTTTGTTAAAAATCCTCTGAAACTTTTTTTTACAAACAAGTCCACGGTATTTATTTGAATAGGAAGTTAATTTTAAATTATATTTTAGAACAACAATTCTGTTGTCTGAAAACTTTGTTGAGTACTTATGGTGAAAATAAGATAGAAATGCTTTAGCAGGAGACTCCAGATTTCTTTAAAACACCGCCAATAAAATGCTGTACAAAGAATATAGAGTGTCGTAGTGCATAAAGCACTTGATATAGTGTACTACAACGCAAGCTTTTTACAAGTATCACTTACAGCAAGTGAAAAACAATGGTTCAAACCGTGCCATTCGACCAACCCATGAAACGATTGTTTCATTTTCGTAAAGACGCCAGCGTTTGATCCAATCATAACGGATACACAACCGCTTCAAAACTCTTGTAAACTGTCCGATAAATAGAAATCCAAAGCTCTGTGCGGATGAAGACAGTTTAAAATCTAAACTGCAATTTCTCTTGCGTAGGTTGCATTCAACTTTAGCGATTCCGCAGCAATGTTAGTTGAAAAGTTATCAAATGCATAAGAAAGATATATAGTAAAGCAAACTTTTTCCGATAACTTTGCGCTTGTATCTGTAGGAATACTGAAACGACCGGGGTATTGCTCCGTGTTTCGTTATCATTTGCTCACTAATGAAACCGATTATGCCTCCACAAACAACATTTGAATGTAAAACTCATGCAATAACACTATTTAACTTCTGAAGAACAATGAGTATGGGGTGTAAGAAATGCTATTTTTACATTATAGCATGACGTGTAAAATAAGAAAAACAGAGCATTTTATAAAAAACTTTATAAAATGTATTCAATTGTTATTTGCGACATTCGGTCTTAATTAAATTATGAAACATGCAAGCTATTCGTTGCAGTAAACTTTTGCTATTATTGTATTTTTTATTTATTTATTTTTTCTTTTATATATTTCGCCGTTTAAATATTACTACAGTAGCAAAATGCATAAATAAATATTTACATGGCCGGGGCAAAAAAAAAAAAAAATAAGACAACAGTAGTCTTATCACTTGTTGCAAAGGAAATATTCAAGCTTGACATTGATGCTGAAAAAAATTTGTCAAATCTACTGTAAAAGTTTCTTAATAAGAACCGGATACTAATTTTAATTAAATGCTACATTTAATTAAAATTATTAATTAGTTATTTGTTGAAAAATATAAATGGCGCCACCATCAAATTACTTTTTAGCTAAATTACAAAAAGGTATTGAAAAAAAATTATACAAAAGTTTTAGATTTTTTTAGACGGTTACCCACAAATGAAACAACAACATTTTTACAGCGGTACGTAAACTAAAAATTTTATCAAGAAATTAATTTAATAAAAAAAATATATTAAAACCAGATAAAAGTCTCATACAGTTGCGGTTAAAAGATTTATCATTCTATATAATTGTATAAAAATCAGTGTGATTGCGTCGATGCATCTGCACAATCATACTGATTTTTATACAGCTTTATTATACTGTCAATAGCATGCTATTGACAGTTTGCTATGGACAAGCATGTTTTTGACATATCTACGTTTGTATATATACAGTATGCTATTGCAATACATTTTATTGACAAAATTTGAGAAAGTAATTTGACTACACTTGAAGATACAAAATTATAACAACTTTTTTTGCTTATAAAAATTACTTATGTCTTGAAAAAAAATTACTCTTTTCTGAAAAACGATTTCAATTTCTAACTGCAACGGTCGTGGTTTGGTGTCCCTCTATTACCCTGAATACGTCCGAGGGTTAGAGGTCAACTCAAATTTTTGACACTTATCTTTTGATAACGAGTTGTTTGTATTTCGATAAAAATTGACAGGGTAATGGCAATTTAAACTAAGATAAGACATAATTTTCACCACAGTTTCTTCAACAAACCCATATATACAAAATGCATTGCTTAAAAAGTCATAACCTTAGTGTATTGCTTAAAACGTCATAACGTAGTGTTTTTGAAAGCCTATCAAAGTTTACAGACTATCAAGTTTATATATTTATAGAAAATATCAAGCATATCATACCTATAAATAAAAAAAAAAGAGTTTTGAAAATCGAAACAAATTAAGCTTTTAGCAATGAAATGAATTAAAGCAGAGAATCATAATTTTGACTAAACAATGTTTATCTTATTTTCTTATTAACACTTCTCTAATTTTTATAATAATTTCATTCTATTAAAAATAATAGATTTTGACTTTTACGTGTAGAGCTAAATTTATTGTTGTTAATTAAAAAAAAAAAAAAAAAAAAGTCATCATTTGCATCTAAAGACGGTAGCCATCTTTAAAATTGCAAATGTTTCCAATTGAAACTGATCATGCGTAAATTCCTTTCCGCTTTTAAATCACCTTGACTGTTTAAGTTATTATTATTATTTTTTTTTTTCCTTTCTTTCTGTCAAGTAATTACTAGCAACAACACTCTTTTATCAAACTGACGCATTATATAAACATTATTAAAAACAACTAGAAAAAAAATAACAAATAAACAACATACAAGTAAAACATGAAATCGAAAATATTTCGCAAAAAAACGTGTACAATGATTTTAAGCAAAAAAAGTCGTTAACAAAACGTATATCGCTAAAGCTAAACAATTAACAAACAAGTTATATTTCAAAGTGTCACTGCGTAACACTTGTTGAATAAAAGGTCATTAACTTTTACTGCAGTGCAAGCATTTAAAATGCTACACACTCGCGGAAAGTGTGGAGTTTTCCTCCACACCGGTGTCTAGCTATCACTCCTAAACACAAGTGTGGAGTTGTTTTGCACAATTTTGTGCAACTAACTCCACACTTCTGTGCAGAAGTCGAGTTAGAAAAAGTTAATTTCCACAAAAGTGTGAAAAATAACTCAACACTTGTGTCTAGGAGTGATAGCTACACACCGTCGTGGAGGAAAACTGCACACTTTCCGCGAGTGTGTAGAGTCAAATTTAGCTAGACATTCAGTCAAAACATTTATCACACATCCAAAATTTGTTATCGGTTACACGAAAACGGAAAACTGTCGAGACCGATTGGTGACTGCATCCAAAGCAGAAGGTCTTGAATAGTGACAATAAATACGTCGTTTAGCTTTCGTACATCATTTATAAATCGTGTTACAGCTGTAAAAAAAAGGAATAAAACATTTTTATAAACTGCACTTGAGGTGCACTCCTAATACAAAAATAAAATTTGAAAGTTTTACCGCTTTTTCTTGAAGGTTTGCTATCAAACCATATTGAATCTGTAAACATGGAAAACGGTTGCTTGTTGTCATCATAGTGAAGCTTAAAGTTAGTCATGATCATTTGATAGACGCTTTCTTCATCTTCAAAGTTAACGCAATCACTCATTGTTGAGCCAAATTTTGTCCCTGACGTGTCACATTGCCAAGTCACAATCGGAACCTCCCACAAACCTGGGTAGAAATCTGAAAACGAACAAGCGGACTAATTAGCTTAATGCAGACAAACAAACAGTTTTTAGCAGGCAATAAAAATGTTGCACTTTTTATATTAACAAAAATAAACGAAATGAAAGTATAGTATTCAAGCGCAATACTTGTTGGGCAGTTTTTCAAATAACAACTTAAAGAGGGCAAGTAGTCAAAAGTATATGGCCACCATCTTACTCCTGGAAACGTAACCAACGAGCTGTCGTACAAAAAGCCGTTATCTGCTAAAATTCTAAACGTTGTTTCCGTGCTTTCGAGATATGGGTTTCGCCAACCTTTTGTAATCACACCAACCTCTGACTGGATAGTTTTCTGTTGGCCAACAATCTCCGACTCGAGTTCTGTAACAGATGCCTTAGAAGAAAAAACAAAAACTTATTAAAATTTAAAAAAATATATGTTCTGAATAAATAGTCGATTAGTCGTTTAGAAAAACTGACAAAGCTGAATTTAAAACAAAAAAAACAACAACAACAACAAACGAACAATCTTTTATAACATACATTTGCGCTCCACCACTCTGGAGGAACCCTTTGAGATACTGAGTGATCGGCTAGTTCATGTCCTGAATATATATATATACAAATAGATAACGTATACAAATACAGTGTTTGTTATTTTCAAAAGTTTAAACTAATTTATTGCATTGTGCAAACTAAAAAGTTTAATGTTTCAAAAACGTTATTTGAAAAATATTACCGTTTTCGTAGAGCGTCTTTACTAAGGTGTAATTTGCGTTATCTCCAGAAACAAAAAAAGTGGCTTTAATTGGACATCCATTGAAATTGGTAACTCCGTCAAGCAAATCTTTGTGAAGCTGAACGTTTTGCGATGTAACGCTGTCACCAAAAGTTAACAAGATAACTTGGGGCGTGTTATTTTTAAATAAACCACCTGGAATATCCGTTCCAGCGCACCTGCACGTTGGTAAACGACAAAGTAAGGAGTTGCAAGAAGCTAAAATACACAAACTTAAAATGCGTGAGAAACTGCGCCTCAGGTTTTTTGTGAAATGATACAATATTAAAGAATACGTCAAAACTAAGTTACCTTGACCACTTTTTGAAACTAGATCTGCCAGGTAAACCGTCGTTGGTACAGTACTCTCGGTTGGTAGGGCATCGTTTGCTGCATTTGAAAGGTTTTCTGTTGTTTGAGTGCTTATCAAAGAGAGAACAGCCAAAAAACACGCTACTGCTAGCATTTGTTTAGTCATCTAAAGAAAAAGCCGCATTTGAAATAGTTTGTTCTAGGCTAGTTTTTATTAAAACAAAAATGATCGTGCACAAATGATTACCGTAACAGTTCTTTTGCTATTGATGTGAGTAACTGATGTATAATTGAAAAAGCTTCATCAAGTATTTATAAAACTTGAAACGGAAGCGTAGCTTTATGCGCAAACTATTGTCATTCAAAAATTAGTGTAGTTGTTGAAATCGTTAACATTGGAAGTATGTACTCATAGAGACTATTAAAAAAGTAACAAATAGTTTCTAGAGTCTTTATTGCATCAACAGATTCCTCCGTTTTGATTTATGTAGTTAAGAAATAACGAAGTAATAAGATTTTTTAATTACTTTATTTCGCCGTTAAAGAAAACTTTTAATGTATACACATATATCAAAAATTAATGGCTCGACCATAAAAAACGCATCTTTAGCTTTATCGCCGAGCCCGCTACAAAAAACTTTACATAACGATAACATATATACATAAAAATGACAACTGTGAAAAACTAGAAAAAACATACATATAAATATATATATATATATATATATATATATATATATATATATATATATATATATATATATATATATATATATATATATAAAATATATATTATATATATATATATATATATAAAATAACAAAGGTATATAAAGAAATAGAAAATAACAAACAGTTTAGAAGCACTAAAAGGTTTGGCGAGGTTTTAGCAATCGCTGAAAATCAATATTAAAAAAAAGTTCTCAAATAAAAGAAATAAGTAAGAGTGTTTATTAAGTAACATCATCACGAGATTAAAAATCTATCGTAAGATTAAATGCTTTAATGAAATCTATGTTTATTGTTTTCTGCTTTCTTTAAAAGAAACGTTTAGCTTTGGATATATTGAAGTTTATAGATAAAAAATAATCGTTTTGATTCATTTTTAAAATGCTCTCGTGTAGACTTTTTTTTTTGTTAAAAATCCTCTGAAACTTTTTTTTACAAACAAGTCCACGGTATTTATTTGAATAGGAAGTTAATTTTAAATTATATTTTAGAACAACAATTCTGTTGTCTGAAAACTTTGTTGAGTACTTATGGTGAAAATAAGATGGAAATGCTTTAGCAGGAGACTCTAGTTTTCTTTAAAACACCGCCAAAAATTTAGGTCCTAGTTTGCAAAAGATGTTACAAATTTTCGCATTAGGTGATTTTTTTTGGCATCACTTAACATAACTACATAAGACGGGAAAAAACACATACTGAAACTTTTTAGTCCCTGTGTAATAAGGAAAGATTTTATAATAATGACAATGAAAGGTTTTATTTCAGTCAACTTCTTTTGATATTTTTTTTTGCGGAAACGTTGCAGTGAACAGACGCTTTTTAACAGCTCTTTATAAATTATTAAAATAGAAGATAAACTTATTATTATTAAAAAAAAAGATAAATCTAAAATGTCAGTTACTCTTGTAGAAGTTAAAAAAATGCTGAAGGAAATGTTTTTGGAATATAGAAAAGAAATGGAACAATGCTTAAGCAACAACAACAAATATTTATAGAAATCTTAAGCGCAAATACAAAAATAATTAATGAGAGACTTGACAAAGTTGAAGAAAACTCTAAAGAAAGTGCAAACAAAATAAAGATAATAGTAAAAGATATCGAAGACATAAAATTGAGCTTAAATTTTCATGATGAAGTTTTTGACAAAAAAATTGCAACTATCCACAAACAAAACAATGATCGAGTGGAAAAGGAAAACATTACAACGCAAAATATAAATGAAAAGCTAAGAAAGTTTGAAGATAGATCGAGAAGAAATAATTTAAGAATAGACGGGTTACCAGAAAGTGTGAAAGAAACATGGAATGAAACTGAAGATAAAGTTAAACTATTTTTAGTCAATAAGTTGGGACTAAATGGAATAGAAGTTGAACGAGCTCATCGAACCGGAGCCAGAAAAGAAGGAAGCTCCAGAACAGTTATAATGAAGTTGTTAAGATACAATGATAAAACAAAAATTCTAAAAGAGTCATATAGACTAAAAGGTACAAACATTTACTTAAACGAAGATTTTTCCCATGAGACTGTCAATATTAGGAAAAGACTCCTGGCTGAAGTAAAAGAACGACGCGGTAATGGTGAAAATGTTGGTTTAAGGTACGATAAAATTATTAAATTAAATAATATCAAAAAAAAATAACTCTTCTTTCTTATATTTATATTTTACACGTGTATGAATATATTTATATATCTTATATTTAATTTTTTAAGCAGTTAAATTTTTAATTATGACAATGACGGAAACAAAATATTTTGAAATTTTTGATAAAGAAAACACTCTTCTTCTGAACAATAACAATGACCCTGACAAAAATTTTTTTGAAAACGACTCATTTAAGTCTAATTACTATAGTATCGAAGAATTATCTTGTTTTATAAATGCGTCACAAAATACTTTTTCAGCGCTGACATTAAACATACGCAGCATGAGCAAAAACTTTGAAAACTTTAAAGAAATGCTAAAAGACATAAGTCACGAATTTACGGTAATATGCCTTTTAGAAACATGGTGCAAAGACGAAAATACCATAAACTCAAATTTTCAATTAAAAGGCTATAAAGCTCTCCATCAAACTCGTAGTAGAGGTACTGGCGGAGGAATATGTTTCTACATACATAATACAATACAGTTTAAAAAAGTAGAAAGCCTAAGCTTACTGAACGCAAACTGTGAACTTTTCACGGTTGAATTAACAAACCAAGGTAAAGCAAATGCGTATATTACTGGCTTATATAGACCACCAGATGGCAATATAAAATCTTTTAAAAAACATATAATTCAGTACCTAGAACTGGCTAAAAATAAGCACTTATACATAATGGGAGATACTAACTTGGATCTTTTAAAAATAAAAACTAATAACAATGTCAAATGCTTTTTAAATAATCTCTTACAGCACGGCGTAGAACCCTTAATAAATAAGCCAACTCGAGTAACTCTCCGAACAGCTACCCTAATCGATAACATATTTACAAATACTACCATAAAATGTAATATTCAAAGCGGAATAATAAAATCTGACATAAGTGACCATTTTCCGATATTTCTTCTGCTTAACAATCTCAACAAAAAAAAAGAAAACAAAACAATAATTACAACAAAAAGGCAAATAAATGAAAAAAGTATAACAAAGTTCCGAAGCAACTTATCAATGGAAAACTGGGATCAGGTTGTTAATTGCAAAGACACCAACATAGCTTACGATATTTTTAAACACACTTTTACAACTTTGTACGAAAAAGCGTTTCCCAAGCTTGAGCAATTAACAAAACTCAAAAACCTTAAAAGTCCTTGGATGACAAAAGGGCTTATTAAATCTTCAAAAAAAAAACAAAAACTTTATGAAAAATTTTTAAAAAAAAAGACTTTTAAAAACGAAAAAATATATAAACAATACAAAAATTTATTTGAAAAATTAAAAAAACACTCAAAAAAAAACTATTACTGCAATTTATTAGAAAATTATTGGGGTAACACTAAAAAAACATGGGGCGTAATAAAAGAGGTAACAGGAAAAAAAAAAGATGCTATCAAAGTGTTCCCGCAATACTTAAAAACAGATGAAAATGATACAGTAGCCAATAAGGCAATAGATATTGCAGAGAAATTTAATAACTATTTTATAAAAATTGGGGAAAAACTAGCTAATAAAATAACTCGTGGAAAAAAATGCTATAAGCTGTATCTAGAAAAAAAAGCCTCAGTCATGAACGAGCTTGAAATAACTCCGGATGAGCTTAAAAATGCATTTAATACCTTACAAGAAAACAAAAGTCCAGGACTAGATGACATTAGCGTGAACGTTGTAAAAAATGTCTACGATATTATTGAATATCCCCTTCTGCATATCTGTAATCTGTCTTTAAAAAATGGGGTGTTCCCTGACCAGCTAAAGCTAGCAAAAGTTGTTCCTATATTTAAAAGCGGAGACGATTCGATTGCTTCTAACTACAGGCCTATTTCTATTTTGCCATGCATTTCAAAAATATTAAAGCGCATAATGCACAATAGGCTAAACAATTATCTAGTAAACCACCACCTACTAAATAACAACCAATATGGCTTTCAAAAAAACCATTCAACAGAACACGCTGTAGCCAAACTTGTCAATGAAATTTTAAATGGGTTTGACAACAATAAATACACTCTTGGGGTATTCCTCGATCTCTCAAAAGCGTTTGACACTGTTGACCACAAAATTCTTCTTTATAAACTATATAATTATGGAATAAGAAATAACAATTTAAAATGGTTTCGCTCTTACCTTAATAATCGGAAACAAGCTTTATCATATAACAACACTGTAACACGACTTGAAGACATTACTTGTGGGGTTCCACAAGGATCAATTCTTGGTCCATTATTATTCCTCGTTTATATTAACGATATCTACTTATCTTCTAACATACTTAACTTTGTCCTTTTTGCCGATGATACGCAAGTGTTCTTTAGCCACACAAACATTAGCCTATTATTTAACACTGTTAATCAAGAACTTGAAAACCTGAACGAATGGTTTAAGGCTAACAAACTCTCCTTAAATGTCGAAAAAAGTAAATATATTCTTTTTACAAAATTATCAAAATCTGAAACCCTCCCCTTAAAACTACCTGATTTACTAATTGATAAAACTAAACTTAAACGAGAATACTCAATCAAATTTTTAGGCGTAATTCTTAATGAACATCTTAGCTGGAGTAACCATATCAAAGTAATAGAAAATAAGATATCAAAAATTATTGGTATTATGTATAAAACAAAACATCTCCTAAACACAAATTGTTTAAAAAATATTTATTTTGCATTTATTCATAGCTACATCAGCTACTGCAACATTATCTGGGCAAGTACTTATCCTTCAAAGTTAAATATGATCTACAAAATACAAAAACGAGCAATTCGCTTGATATTAAATGCAAATAAATACGCTAGTGCCAAACCACTACTAAGAGAAATTGGAGTGCCTAATGTCTATGAAATAAATATTCTTAATATACTTATTTTCATGTTTAAATTTAAAAATGGTATGCTACCAAGCATTTTCCAAACTTATTTTTTTTCTTTAAACCACAAATACGAAACTAAATACTCAACAAATAATTTTATTATACCAAAAACATTATCAAAACAAGCTGATTTTTCGATATCTTGCCGAGGGCCGCGGTTATGGAACTTGCTTTTAACAAACAATATA